TTTCTGCTAAGAGTAAACTCAGAAGTGTGAGTCTTCACTTTAGTTAGTATTTAGTCTTTTTCACTGTAGTAGATGCATGAGGAATATTGGGGTTTTTTTTGGAAAAGCTTTACTTAAAAACTAGATGTAAATTCCTTTTCTCAGAAAAGCTTTGCCTAAAAACTAGATGTAAATTCCTTTTCTCTTAGTATTTCTTTGTCCACCCTCAAGAAGACAGGTTATAAATTTCAACATGGCTTTGGAAAGAGAAGACTGTAAAAGAACTGATGTATCACAGTTCCTGTTAAGTGTGTGTCCTGTTACAACAGTTTTCCTTGCTTGTCCTTTTCTTTATGTTGGAGACATAGACCACCTGATTAGCACTGGAATAACAATTTTAACATGGACTGTATATCTTATTTCAGTTTTCTGGCAAGAAGCAAACCAGTCAATGCTACTGCAATGTATCATTCAATGAATCCAGGCCTAGGTCTCCTAGGTCTTTTCTTATTCAGTATGGAGATTTAACACATGAAGAGAGTAACTAAAAACTTCCTTTCAAGTTGCCCTACTAGCATGTTTTATAGAATAAATAGGTGTAGAATTACTCAAGCAACATGTAAATATGCACCATTACTGAAGATAGTATGCCAGCACTGTAAGAGTTGGGAGAGTTAAAAAGACCTTGTGCGTCCTTCTCTAATCAAAACATATTCTTTTCATTTCTTGTAAATGCACTTTCATATGCATCTACGCAATTGAAACTGAATCTTTTGATATTTATAATACTCCTTCTAGCATTGCCCTGCTTATAGTATATGTAGTAAACTCTGTATGAAGAGGCACTGAGTAGCCCCTCTTCCCTTGAGGTCAGAATATCTTGCAACCTTAAATAAAGGAAAGCTCCAGGTTATGACCCATTGAATGTGTCACGGATTGGCTATGTCTTAAAGAGTATTGAGTGACTGATAAAAATCAATACTTTTCTAATAACAAAGTACCAACAAACAAAACAAAGATTCTTCAATGCTCTGTCTTGGACAGAGACAATAATATTGAACAGGAATCTCCTACCCTGCTGGGTTTTTTTTGGTTCTTTTCAGTTCTGAGGTTGAATATTACCAGATCTGATTACTGCAAAAGAATTCTCTAGTGGTTTTGTGTGGGAATGGTCAAGATAAGAAATTGATTGAGAAAGTTTTGGTTGTTGGAGCTTTCGTCTGCTCTTTGTTGTGGCAGTCACTTTTAGACAGTTAAGTGTTTCTTCTAAAAGTCCCTTTTGCAAATTAACTCGAGCTGTTGTTTTTCTAACTTTCACTTGTTCAGAATGCAAATCAATATGTCAAAGTACTTGCAAGGCTTACAAAACCAAATGTTTGCACTCAATTCGAGAATATAAAGCCCTTTTCCTTCAAAGAAAAAAATGCTGATATACTATAATACTTTTTAAATCTTTTTTCCCTAACACCCCAACATCTGAAAGTCTTTAAAAATTCTCTTAATTTCTAAAGCTTTGCTTTTGAAATGAGATGCATTTTTCACATTCCTGCCTTGACAAGTCAGCATTTCCACGCATCACCAACAGTGATGAAAGCATTTTCTCTGTGTCCTTGGGCTATAGTGGTGAGATACTAGAGGAAAGATGTTCTTGTTAACAAATTATTTTTTTTAAGGACACATAGATTTCAGTCATACAGTAATGTCAACTCAGAGCAAGAAGGATAATGGAGTAATTTTTACAGGGAAAAACTCAGAGATCTAAATTATCCAGAGAGCCCCTATCCCTGGGATGTCACACTCTTAGTCTGCTGATTAATTACTCTGGCCTCTGTACCAGACTATGGTTCTACAGGAGCTCTAGCTTTTATTTAGAAGAAGGTATATTTCTAGCCATGTGAATGTAAATAAAATAGTTTGAAAATATTTTGAAGCGGCTCTAGATTTTCACACCTATTGATGGGTTATTCCAATAATTGTAAGCTATCTCATTCATTTGATTTGATTTTGGTTTGGAAAACATCCATGCTGATGCCATTAAATATAATAAGTTTAAGAAGGTTAACAACTTATTAAATTTAGAAACTTTCAAATAATCACAATTAGAACATAATCTGGCCACTTCTGGAAAGGATAATAAAAACATTTGTATAAATATATTAATAGCAAAACGAGTGGCAAGAAAAACTTCTATTCCTTATTGGATGCAGGGGGAATATGAGGAAAAGATCAGGAAAAGGCTGAGTACGTGAGACCTTCTTTGCCTCAGTTTTCAACAATAAGACAGGTTGTGCTCAAGAAAAAATTATTTTCTCTCTTGATGTTTGCACATACATTTCTTTTTTTCAGAATATATTTAAGAAAAACACCCTTATAAAATAATGAGATTAATCCTTCTCCTAAAACATGTTTAAAAATATAAATGTTTTATCTGTTGATTTTGCTCAGGGTATATGAGCAAGAGGATTATTAACTGGTGCAGCTGTTTTCCTCTGTTGTATAAATCCTCCTCAATTCAAAGATTATTTATCTGAAGAATACATATAATGATAAGATAAAAGATATTTATCTGAAAGGGGCTCTAACAGCCCCTAAGGCTCTACTGCAGCCTAGTGTATCTATGCAGTTACCGCATAGGACAAAAATCTACCCACAAATAATCTTCAAGAAACACTGGTTGGAGAAAAGGTTTACTGAACCTCATTAAGGAGAAGTTCCTCTCAATTAAATACCTCTCTCACACACAGGAATCTATATAACAGAGTGTTTGAACAACTTAGATTAAGAAAAAGTAAGTAAGAAGGAAAGAAAGCTCTAATGAAAATTCCTTTTCATGTAGGTTCGAGGTTGTTTTCTGGGGGGAGGGAAGGTTGTTTGTTTGTTTGTTGAAGTTTTGTTTTTTTTTTTCCCTACGGTTTTAAAGCCTTAGAAATGTCATTTAAAGAGAAGCTATACTAGGGAAGTACATCCAGAAGCAAGTCACGTTACAGACTCAGGCAGTGTAATATCATTCATTACACATGCTTGGAAAGATTCATTCATGCCAGGATTCAAGACGGACTTTTTTGTTTTTCCTGAGGAAACAAAGACTTCCACTTTTCAACTCTGTTTTTTTTTTAACCTGAAATTGGAAACAATGCTACAAAGGGACCCCAAAATTCAATAGTTATTGAAATTATTGATCATTGAACTGCAAGGGAAAATATTTTAAGGTATGAACTGATCCTGAAATTTAAATTGCTAGTTTGCTGACAAAAAAATGTTTGCTAAATTCTTACTGCAATCATTTAAAAGAAAGGTAGGATTATAATAACTAGTTCCTAAAATATATATGTCACTTAAATTAGGCAGCAATTTTATAATTTTATAATAAATCTCTTCACCATTTGGGATACAACACAGATGACTGAAATTCTGAAGATTGATAGAAGCTTCTGATGGACACAGACTGGATCATCAATGCTATTGCATCACTCCTTTGACCAGGACCGTTTTCAGAGATCATGTACTAATAAGAATCCCACTGATGCTTTTAGAAATCTTTAGCTGTGATCTTCAAAAAAGTCTTTTTCTTCTGGTCAGAGATTACCCATTTTTCTTGTCTCCAGATTTGGAGATCTTTGCCTGATGTTCTTGACTTTCAAAGTCAGTATCAGATTTTTATTCTTACTTGCATCTTTTTGATCTGGAATTTTTCCTCCTTTCTCTGAGCAATTGTTAAAAGCCAAATCATACACAGTCTTTTGGAGCAAACCTGGTACATATTTTTATGTTGCTAAGAAATCAGTAATTAAAAATTAGTAATTTCCCTGGAAATCTTGCTAGATATTTCTATCATATTCCAATATGTATTTGTATTTTAAACTTATGTTAATAAGAATTGCATTAGGAGGATTTTGAAGAGGGGAGGTTAACACTTGTTTTCTTTAGCCGATATCTAGAAATAAAGTGACTTTATTTAACAAAAACTTACAGCAAAGGGTTCTAACAAAGTTTTTTCATTTTCAAGTATTTGTAATATAGAGTGTGTCTGAAACAAATGCCATGGGATGGAGGTTGCCAACATGACAACTGAATAACCCATCTCTTATCCTCTTTTTACTAATAAATCTGTTTTTTAGATCTCTTGATAAAATCCAGCCTTATGTAAATGTCATTTAGCTGCTTTAAATTAATACAGTGGTAATGGAAACAAGTTTCTAGCACCATGTGATTTTCAGTATCAATTAACTCAGATTCTCCCTGTACTGCTGCAACTTTTAGACATGTACATAGCTCATATATTCATACTCCTATTTTTAAGTAAAATTATTCCTGTTCATTTCTTTCTGGCAGAGCAGAATATACAAAGTAAATGGGAAGGGGTCAATTTCAGAATGTTGTGTTTCACTTCTTGATTACAGAATGTGCTAAAGCTGCTATGTTTTCTTCAGAGTCCTGCAGAAACTGATCTGAAATGAAAACATGAAACTTGGAAACAGATCCTGTGTCTGAATCCTACAATCCTTAGGCTGTACAATAGTAGAATTATCCCTCAATAATGGCAGGAAGACTGCACAAAAAAGACACCATCAACCTACTGAACTCATAAAAAAAATCCATTAAAAGGCAAACCTCTGTAGTTGAAACAGAAAAGTTTTTCCTTCCAAATTAGGGCTTCTAAAGTAGGCTCAACTTTGCAGCTAAGATAAAATGATTTAATCCTACACCACATGAAAGGAGAATGCCAGCAATTAAGTCAGACTCAAAAGCTTTGTTAGTGATGGAATGCCTGGCTGGAGCTTGCCCTCTGAGGCTTTACAAGGGAAACAGTCATTTATTTAGGCAATCACTTGACAAAATACAAAAGAAATAAACTGATAATGGATTGGTACTTCAGGGGAACCAAAGGCTTTTAATAAAACTGCTCTGGACCACCCTCCTCCTCCTAAATATTAAGCTCTCTGCAATGTAACCTTCCAGTAACCTTGCTGGGATGCACGGCACTGTGATTCACCAGGACACCCTCATTCTTCTCTTTTCAGGCTCCTGCTCACATGGCCATAGGCAGTGCCAGAATGGCAAGTGTTACAGACCAGAACAAAGCTGTGATTTTGAAGACAACTGTGGGGATAATACAGACGAGAGTGAATGCGGAACTTCCTGCACCTTTGAGAATGGCAGATGTGGCTGGCAGAATTCCCTGGCTGACAATTTCCACTGGGTGCTGGGGGTCAGCTCGCCTCAAAGTCTCAGACCTCCCAGGGACCACACGCTTGGAAATAGAACTGGTATGTTGTTAGTTCACAAGTAAGGGATAATTGTCCTCATGAAATGTCTCATATCTCCACGGGCAGCAGGGGAGTTCTAAAATTTCTAATCAGGATGTCATTTTTAATGAATTAGATGTCTTACAATATAAAAATATTAACTACCATCGTACAATAATTTTAATTTAGGAAAATTGAATCTTAGTTGTTTCTCATATGAGTCAGGCAAGATAATTTGATATTTGTCTGGAGAGAGGCATTTGGTCTGGCTGCAATTTGCAAAGGTGAGTTATCTCAGCTCTGAGATCCACTGGGTCCCATTCCTCTGGAGCTTGAGGTCATTTTCAGGAAGCTTACAATTTCCCCTAGTGACTATTCATACTTTAATTTTAGATAAAATAAGTAAATTTTTAAAAACAAAGCTCCTTTGTTAGTGCATGTCCTGATTTGTTTTGGTCAAAGCACTCAGTTATCTGCTTATGTTCTTGCGTCAAGCTCTGTGCCTTCATACTTTGCTTTTAAAGGTCCTATAGCTCAGACAAAGATTTTACCAAAGCTGACCTCAGAACTGACCTTAAACTGAAATATTCACAGCAGAGTTGCACAAAGGCATGATAGCAGTCACTGAATGTTTGCACAAACTGCTGAAGGACAAAACCCAATTAACTTCAAAATATGTAGGGAAAAAATTCATTTGCATTGTCAGTAATATATATTTTTAAAGTATTATCACAAATACACCACTATAATATATTTTTAAATATATGCTTGACCTCAGAGAAAAAGCAGATTTCTTATCCCATAACATCATGGCAGGCATCTATGGTTGTATTTGAGCCAGGGCAGTGTCAAAGTTAGCATGAGCCTATTTGTTTCTGCATTATCTAGTGAAGTAAATTTTTTTTTTGCCAAATTCATATACAAACATTAGTAGATGCACAATTATATTTTTTGTGCTATTTATAATACATTTATGTTTATGTCAAATACACACTTCTTATTTGTACAAAGGAAAAAAATGAATTTGAAAACTTGGGAGAATTTTTTATACTTCTGATTAAAAATAAAGATGGAAGACTCAAGGACCATATCAGTGTTGACAAATATTAACTCCAGGCATCTAATTTTGCACTTTCATCTGACTAAATAATTTATATATTCATTAATATTCAAACAGAGTGAAAATGACCAAAGGTAATATGAACCATTAGGGATACATAGTGATTTATACATGCATAATTTTTTTTCCTGTTTCACAAGTTTTTATATAGCATGACTTGCAATTTTGAAGATTACCTTTCCAGAGACTTTATCCTGAAATTTATCATGATGTGGCTATTGTGTGATGTATTTTCAGAATTGCAACTACTGCAGTTCAGCAGGGACATGTAATCAAGGTAGCCAGAAAACATGGAAGAGTTCCCAGGCTTCTACACAAGTCCATCCAAATCCTAAACTGTTACCACCAGTTTATTCCTGATATAAGAAGTGCACAAGGAATGGGAACAGGTCATTTTTTCTCCTGAGCTGAGATTGACTAGTATGAGACTTATGAGGGAAATGTTATTCATATGTCTCTGCACTTACTTTACTGAGTTTTGGAATCTAGTTTTAAAATGTAAAACATTTTTTCAGTAATACATCATTTAATTTCAGGACATTTCCTATATCTTGAGGCCACTGCAATGAGCCTAATAAATGAAAAAGCCCATGTGAAGAGTTCCATATGGAAAGAATCAAGTGGGACTTGTGTGATGAGCTTCTGGTACTTCAAGTCATCAAAAGCCATGGGACATATTCAGGTTCTGATTAAGGTAACAAAACACCCCTTTTCTTTTGAGTATTTTATACCTGTAAGGGTGTTCGTGCTCCTGCAGAGTGCCTCAGCTCTGTGACATTCTGTTGTTTAGCTGACAGACTGGGAGAGCTCCCACGCACCTCCTGCTTCTGTGCTGGGTTTTATTACTCCAGTCTCTTAAAAATGCTTTTAGCATTTCTCTTCTAAGAGAAGCCATCTGAATAGCCAAAGAAAATCTTGTCAAATTCTCTTTTTATCTTCCCCTCTTCCCATATAGTACCTTTCTCTTTGATTTTTTCCATGTGAAGCTATTTTCATATTTTGCTGACATCCTTATTGGTATTTATAAGTATACAGCCCTATTGTTCTGATGGGATGACACAAAAAAAAAAAAAAATTACCAACATGTACAAAGTGAGAATAAAATGCAAAAATACGACTGCATTAAATATCTTTATATAAAAGGGTACAGAGTATAATCAATTTTATTTAGAAATATTTTTTCTTCACTAAATGTCAGATGACCAAAAATATTATTTAAAAATACTGCCTATTCATTTCCAAATGAAAATTGAGACATTTGTAAAAAATTGGCTTTTCCTTTGCTGTTCCTTATTAAGGATTAAATGCTTGTAAATATTTTTTAAAAATCACAATATGGCTCAGACTAGAAATTAATTCTTATGTAGAAATTAATAATCTACGTTCTTCAGACACAGTGGCCAAATATGTGTTTGTGCTTACTTGTATCTGTGCATCTCTTCTGGTTATTAAAATATAAATCATGGTGCAATTTATTTGCCATGTGTCTGTTAACTTCCCTTCCTGCACTATATCTAATAATGTCTTGGTGAACTGCATTAAAGTTTCTGGTTTATTTCCAATGCATTTGTTGGCTGACTTAACTTTAAATGATAAATTTTATTTTTTTCCTTGGATACAAATAACTTAAAATTATTTACCCAATATTCGGAATAATATAAAAATAATTTAAAAGCCTGAAAGATAAAAGACTTTAGTACCTAGATTTTAGTACCTAGAGATACAACCTGAAATATGTCTGCCTGAAATAGAAAAAAAAATGAACCCTTTGACAAGCATCAGAAGATTTTTTTTTCATTAATTAGTCCAAACACCTATAAATAACAACAAATCACTCATCAGGTAACTGTATAGTTATTACGGTGTTTTTATACAGCTCTTTTTCCCAGAAAGGTTCAAATTTTTAAAGGAGGAAAAATTATTCCATCATTGTACCTAGGAATTTTTGCAGATTGACTTAACTTTGCCTGTTATGCTCCTATAAGGACCCATAAGTCCATATTTTAATTGGAGTTCCTATTTAGGAATACAGGAATATATGTCTGTAGGAATATAATCAAATTAAACAACACATAGTCATGGGAAGTCATACTGAAGCTTCTCCTGCTGGTTTAAACTGCAATATCTCGATATTTCCATCCAGATTGAGTATCCCTTGATTTAAAGTAAAGCTAATGTCGGTGAAATCAGATCTCTAGGTAGTGATTAGCTGAAAATGAAAGATGATGAGATGATCTGGGAAGGTAATTACCATCTCAAGTTTAAAAACTTAGCAAACTGTGTCTGGCTGAACTCATTCCATCCATTCAAAGTTTAACTGAGAGTAACTGAGAGTGATGACTATATACAATGGAACAGGGATGAAAAATAAGATGAGGCAGAATGAGGAAAAATTTTTTTTCCTCACTTATAGAGGCAGAATGAGGAAAAAAAATTCTCTTCTTCCAGAATTACCACAGTTGAACAAAAATGTTAAGCATAGGTAAAAAGCCATTTTTAGAAAAATCATAGTTCATTAAAAAAAATAATTAAAAAATCATAGTATGCACCAATATAATTTCTTAAATATGCATTGCTTGGCCACTTTCAGGAATTCTAAGAATATTATCTATCACACTGCTAAAATGGTATTTAGATAAACAATAACTAGAAATAATACTAAAAGATCATAAAAGGGTACTACAGTCAAGCAGAACCTCTTGTTAAAGTTTGCAGCTGGAGAAAATCAATACATTTTCCTAATGGAATTTCTCTGAAGTTACTGTTGTTTTGATTTTTTTTCCTCTTGAAATTGTACTACATATTCTTTGAAGAAAACCATCTGTATATGGAATAATAATAATCCAGTCCAAGTAATGGCCTGTTGAATTAGCTGCAAACATAGAGTATTCTTGAAACTGACCCCTTTGACATTTATGTAAACAAAAGATATTGACAGTGCAGCTACTTATGAAGACTGAAATATCCAACTCACCACCCATCTGAATTCAAATTACAAAGATTTGATAGCAGTGCAAAAGCAAACAGAATATTCCCCGAAGAGATCTGGGTATAACTAATCAAAACTTTTTCCAGTGAGATTCTGAGACATTCTAGTCTTGACTGTGGTAGCTGTAAGAGAATACCATCCATTGTAGGAGAAATTTCAAAGTTCAGGTGCAGATGTTCGCTGTGCCTGTTTTAGTGTTGATGGTGGGGCACCTCATCAATATGCAGTTTTTTATGAGTCAGAAGAAACTGTGTATTTTTAAACATGCTTATAGAGAAGCAAGCAAGAATTATTAGGTGAAAGGGATAATGCATTTCATTATTCTGTTGATCTAAAATAAGCTTTCTACCGCCACTTAAATTGTCCCTGCAATTAAAAAAATAGAAGCAGAAGGAAATCAGCAACAAAGGATAAAAACATTTGTTGAAAATAATTTTCATGATATCAATGTCAATTGCTTTTGCATATAGACATTTTAATTTAATAAGATAATTTAGGATCTAGTACAGTTAGGGGAGAATTGTTTCAAAGATTTGAAACAAGCATCCGAAAACAAATATGCAGATGAATAAGGAAGGTGAAACCTGTCATTAGTAACTCTCTCTGCTGACAATAACAAGGCCAATACACACAGGATCTCATTAGGAAGTTCCAGTGGACCTTACCCAGGCATTTAATTAATTCCATCCAGTTAAAAATCAGCAAAGCCATGAGGACATTCAGGAAAACAAGAAGTCCTGACGAGTGCTTGGCAAGTAAAGCTGGGACCCTTTTATACTGTGGCAGCAGCAGCCTAGCCTAACCTAACCAGCAACCTAACCTAACCTAACCAGCAATCTAACTTAACCTAACCTAACCTAACCAACAACCTATCCTAACCAGCAATCTAACCTAACCTAACCAGCAACCTAACCTAACCTAACCTAACCTAACCTAACCTAACCTAACCAGCAATCTAACCTAACCTAACTAGCAACCTAACTTAACCTAACCTAACCAGCAACATAACCTAACCTAACCAGCAACCTAACCTAACTAGCAACGTAATCTAACCAGCAACCTAACCTAATCTAACCTAACCTAACCAGCAACATAACCTAACCTTACCAGCAACCTAACCTAACCTAACCTAACCTGACCTGACCTGACCTGACCTAACCAGCAGCCTAACCTGACGTAACCAGGGCAGCAGGCAGCTGGAAGCAGTGTCCAGCCTCCTGCCCCAGCTGCTCAGGGCTGCTGCACACGGAGCCTTCATCTGGCTGCTGCTTCTCAGCAGAAGCTGGGAGCTCCCACAGTTTTCTCCTGGAATTGTTATTGCTTTTAACCAGCCCAGTGTAGAGAGGAGAGGGTTGGTCGTGTAGAAATGTTTGGTTTAGCAGGTGCCATCTATACCTTCAGGTATAGATGATTCAGTGGATTTTCTAATTCCCTGGTTAGTTTTAGTGGAGCTAAATTTTACTATCCCAGGCTGTGGACATGAAAATCTGCAGCAGAGGTTCTGCAGATGCCAGCTGGTATATTCTGGACATTTTTATTTTAGGATCAAGTAGCTTAAAATCACATTTTCACAGATCAATATAATTGACCCTACTTCTATAGGAAGTCACTCAAGAATAAGGCTTAAGGAAACTAGTTATTCTACCTCACAGCATAAAATAAAATGTGTATTTCTACATTGATCTTCTCACTGACTGCATGAAAAACAATGAATCCCTCACATTAATGTAGAAGACTGCAGTGGATTCAGGTAGCCTCAAAGCAGATTACTTGACCTCTAGTCTCTATGAAACTAGAGGAAAAAAATTAAGTTTTCAAAGATTTGCTTGAATGCTTTACTTAAGAGTTTGCTGAAATCATCTTCCAAAAAAAAAAGTAGACTATCTGTAGATTTAATAAACATAGACATGAGGTTTATTTTGTAGACAAAAATAAGGTATTAGCAAAATTCTTTAAAATAGCAAAGAGTAAATTTTCCTTGTATCTAGTTCCACATAGCTGCATAGTGGTAATGGCCTTTATTTAATGAGTATCTACAGCTCTGAAAATGACACAGTTTTAAACTATTTACTCCCATTACTGACCTTTGAACTCTTATTAAAACTTGTAGTTGAGTCAATGAAATGTCATCTGACTAATGAGAGAGAATAACAGAATATTAGTCCCAAGAGTTCTGAAGGAAATCAGTGGAGATACGGTGAAATACAGTATTACTTGTCAAGAGTAACTTTTATAGCATCTTTACTTCCAAGGAAAAGAAAATTTTTATTTGAATTTCTTGAATCTCAAACAGCACTGTTTATCATTTTAGACACTCTTTCAAACAGTGTTGTTTTATGCCTGATTTTGACACAATGATATAAGCATATTTCCGAGCAAATTGAGAATGAGAGACTGATTAAATAGAAATAAATCTATTTTCATTGAAAGCATAATTTTTCAAAAAGAGTTTACATAGAAAGTACAAACAAATATGCACAACTGTAGATAAATGCAGATACCATTCAGTGTGTTTTATTTTCCTAGATGAGTACATTAGGAAGTTATTTCAATCTTCTATTGTCAGTTACTGGAAGAATATAATTCATTGTAATCCTATACTGCAACCAGATGTAAGCGTTCATTCCAAAGAGTTGATGAGAGAGATTAATATCTTTGAACATCCTTTGAAGGAAGAAAGTATTTTTTTAAAAGACTTAAAGAAT